AGCCCATGGGTAACCTCCCTATGTGCGCACTAGACCATATAGAGGGACTATCCCCCATACTAGAACCACGTCCTAGCCATAGTCAAACAACGACATCCCCAAGTTTCCAAAATCAACAAGTTGTGCAACAACGCATATATCAACAGGAATATGCAAGATAATCAACCATCTACCAAGCACAACCAAATTTGGAAACCTATACAATATATGCTCTAAGTCCACAACTAATATGATGTGATGAATGTCGAATCTTTAGTGTGCGATTCGTTACACGCTATGCATGAATGATGTTAAATACGAAATGTGCAAATCATTACACATGACAACAATATATTCAATAAGGAAAACATATTTTCATGAGTATAAACATAGAAACTATGTTATCCAATGCTCAAAACATAACCAAATGAATATACAACAAGTCCATGTCTAGGATTTTGATATAGAAACGATTTTCAAACACAATTAAATCCATGGCTCGATTCGATAGAATTTAATTAAATAAAAATAATTAAATTCCTTAGATTCTAATTCAATTCCAAATAACCTCAAATTAATACATATTAAGGAACATGGCATGGTCATCACCTATATCCATTCTAAAACTCAATTAGGTTATTGGAACAACAAGTAGAACTCTAATTAAATCATGCTAATTTAATTACCAAGGTTCTAAAGCAACTTCAAATGGTCCACAATTAATATATACTAGTAAACAAGTCATAGCCAATACAAATATCAAGTTAAAATCTTAATTAAGCTAATGGTACCACAAAATAGATTTTAATTAATTCTTTTAATTAAAATCTCTAGATTTTCAAACTTAACCGAATGCTCTCAATTTAACAAATCTTAGAGAACATGCCAAGGACTAATGTAATATCACATTACAAGTTTATTTCATTCAATTTACGACCATGTAAATTAAACTTTCACTAAAGTTAAATATAAATTAAAAGTTGCAATTCTAATGTAATTAATCCCAATTTAATACATGTGAACAACCATACCAAAACTTAATTTTCTAGTATGCCACAATACAATTCCAAGTTGTATATCACCATGAGGATTAAATTTTAAACAAGGAAATTAATTAAATGAAAGGTTTCCAAACCTCACCGAATATTCTAAATAAAATATATGTGAACCTATATGGCATGTAGATCAAGAATATCAAGTCGGAATTCGAATGGAGTGAATAGTGCACTCGGGGCAAATTAATTAATCAAATTAATTAATAATTACTAATTTTCAAAACACCTCCAATTACTTTCAAATTCAACTATGTTGAAGAGCATGCTAAGGCCTAATATAATATGTTAACACATATTAATTTCAAACTAGTTAAGGCCATGTGAATTAATCTTTCACCTAAGATAAATATTAAATAAAATCTTTAATACTTATTCAAATGTTCCAATTTTAATACACGACAATGAGCATATCAAGGGGCAATATAAAATCATGCTACGTGTTTAAACCAAGTCTTGAGCAACCGGGAAAATTAGATCCCGTACAAGAAAAATAAATAATAAAATCTCTAAATTTTATATTTAATCATGCAAACAAGTAGTATAAGCATCACAAGCATGTTATATAACAAGAATTTAAACCTAGAACATCTCCTACCTTAATTTGAGATGAAAATCCCAAAGGCCCACCAAAATAAAAGTGCTCCGAATTCGACGATACCGAGAGGTTTTGTCGGGGAAAACACCGTGAACAAGAATCCGCAAGAAGCCCCATGAAAATCATAACTTGACCTCAAAACCAAACTCAAGAAATGGTCAAAATTGAATTCTAATAAGGGAGAAAGGTAGAGCACGGCGAGGGGAATAACAAACGTTAAGGCCGAAGACTTTCCATCAAGGAAAAGTGAACCAAAAGAGGAGAGAGAAGATGACAGCACCCCTTGGGCTGCCATGGGAGCTCTAGGTCGTGCATGAAGAGGGGAGAAGATGAAAAATGAAATATCTCATCCTCCTTTTATAGAAATCTCAAAAAGTGCCCCGAACGGGCCCCGCCGGGTCCGAAAAAGTAAAATTTGAGTAGACGCGCTCAAATGGAAAAATTTTGTGAACAAAAAAGATTCAAAATAATAAAATATGAACAACGGAAGAAATAACATCAAAAACTGAGTCCCGAGCAGAAAGTTATGCCCAAAACAAGTTTGGCGAAAACCGATGCCAGAAACCCTGAAATTGGAAAACATCGATCAGGAGGAAATTCCAAGAGTACACAACTGGACGAAATGTGAAAATGAATCCCGTATGAGGATCTAGGCTCAAAACAAGACATTTTGCAATAACTTTCATTAATTGCACAATAGCCCCTCCAAAAAGTGAAAACTGCACTTATGGCCCAGAATAAAAATATCTTCCAAAAATATTTTCTTAAAAACCCCTGAAATAAAATATCTTCAAAAGATATTTACGAAAAATATCCCAAGAAAAGAAAAAGATTCTAAAGAATTGTGCATCCATGCCCCTATGGACACCGGGAACAACCAGAGTACTTTCTTGAAAAAGTGAAGATACGTATTTCGTGGAAACCACGCAAGATCAAGATATATGAAGTCAAAAACTAACTCCGAGCACGAAAAGTGAGGTTGTGCCAAAAACTAACAAACGGAGATAAGACAGAATAGGGAAAAGGACGAAATAGCGCACAGTGTCGAAAAACGAAAAATGTGAAAATGACTTGATCCTCAAAGGAAGTTGTCAATCTACGGAAAAGAGTCTCAGGAACCAATTTTAAGTACTCGAGATGACACTAAGCGACACAAAACAGAGCTCAGAAAAGAAAATTAAACGAAAAAAATACATTCGTAAAATTTCAGGAAAAAGGAAAGGAAGGCAAATGACCGGGTTGTTGCATAAACTATACACTTTGATACCATATGTAAACTTTAATAATTTGTATTAAGCATTTATCACAAATAAACGTGAATCCCAAAATCTTAGAATTTATTATTCTCACATACCTATAATGTATAAATAAATAGTTAGATATAAATATATAGATCTGTAATTACAAATCTCATTGAGATCAAGTCCAATGTCAAGATCCTTTAACAACAAACTAAGCTTCAACTCCAAACAATATGCAAAGCGTGGAAACTGATTTCTCTCTTTTGGCCTTTTGCACACATAAAAATTATAGCTTGTTGTTTCATTAGCGTACATAATTGATGGGATATATACACTTTTAGTAATCTTAATTCCACTTTCCATTAAAGTAAAGAATAAATAGGAAAACACTTCTCCAATAATTAATTACCATAAAGTAATTTATAAGTTGACTAAATAATATAATTTTAATCGAATATCTATTTATTTAACCATTAATTAAAGAAATATATCACATGTCCAAATCATGTGAGCTACACAATTAATAAATAATCCTACAATTAAATTATATGTAAATACTTTTTTTTAGGATGAATATAATAGCAAATGACAATTAAATCAACATTCCTCACTTATCCCACCAAACACCCAAGTCGCAAAATATATATCAAGTAAAACAATCTTTAGGAGAGGCAAAGAAATGGGTGATGGGCTCTGTTTTTGCCTCATCCTAAACAACCCCACCCAAATCAGTGTAGACTAGTCCGCCAAGTTCCTCTCCGCTCCGCTCTCTCTCTTTCCCTTCCTGCTCAATTAAATCCCTGATCCCAGAGTCACACCACAGCGAGAGATCATCTACGGTAGAGGTTCCTCTTTGGTGAGGTTCTCTGTTTTCAGAGTTGTGTTTTCTCCACTGGGTTTTTTCTATGGGATGGCTTTCCTCCTCCCTCCCGGCATCGATTGGTGTGGGTGTTCGAACCCGTTGGCCGTTCGACCTTACTGGCTTGTTCGTTCGAGGGTTTTGAAAGGTGGATGGGTTTTGGGCCGATTTCCATTGGGTTTCCCTTTTGATCCCGGTATTTGTTTGGTTTGCTTGGCTTTTCTGGTCGTCCTCCTATTCCCTGGTCTTTTGTGGGTCTGCAGCGGGCGGTTGTCTGTGATCATGCTTTTTGTGGCCATGTGTTGTGAATTCTGGTTGGTTGCTGCACGGGATATCCTGTTCCCGGTTTCGCTAGTTGGGAAAGGGGCGTTGTTTTCTTGGTTCAGCGTGCCGGATGTTCTATCCTGTTTCGGGTTGTTGCGCGTTGGCCGTGTTATTGAAGCAGTTTCGCTGCTCCTTTTTCTTGCTCGGTTCAGAGCTGCCTCTCCTCCGGCCGCCATTGACTATGGGTCGTGGTTTGTTGTTGCCGGTCATCTTCATGAGGCTGGGTCTCCTATGGGTTTATTGTGGTTTTCGTTCTTGGTGGTGTTAGGTTTCCGCTGCTGCTTTCCCTGCTTGTGGTTCGCCGGCGATTGGTCATATCCCTTGGTCTATCTTGGGCCGCGTCACACATGGACTGTGTTTTGTGTTGTGCAGGGTGTGTACGTCTGCTCTCAATCCTTCTTATGAGTGTTGGTGTTGGATATCACTTGCTGCTACAGCTTTTTTGCCTTGCCTGGTCAAGGCTTTGTAGGGTCTATCTGTCGTTTTGTGTATTTTGGTGCTTGTGCCTGTGGCTTTGGTTCTCTTTTGTGGTTCTGTTGGGTCTGTTGCTTGTAGATGCCGTAGGGCTCTTGTCTTTGCCAATGACAAAAAAAAAAAAAAAAAAAAAAAAAAGAAGTAAAAAATCTTTAGGAGCTTCATGTATCTCCGCAGAGGATTTGCGGCCTAATAGTCTACATGTACGCCTACGATTTTTGCCCAGAGGTGGAAAAAAAAAAAAAAAAAAAAAATTTAATAGGGTCGGATCTTGGGCCAAACTCAATCCATTTAAAACCCCAGCTTAAAACCCTTCAGAGTTAGTTTTCTGGTCCCCGAAAAGCGTTTCGACTATGTTTTGGGCCGTATATTTAGAACTGAAAACGTGGAGGTATTGCCAACAAGAGAAGTTCGCTAGTCATGGCGTCGAATATATGCACACACACATATATATATTCAAACCCCAGTTGCGTATCAAGAACGTCGCTAGAAGAGATACCAGGCGGCCATGATAGCCAAGGTATCTCTCCGTCATACAGTTCTCTGAGAAGTTCAGGTTGAATTCGTGATCTGTGTAAAGTATACTCGTTGGATACAGAGTCGAACGAATGCGGTTCTCGGTTGTTAGAAGAGTTTGAATGTCGGAGAAACGAAAAATGAGAGGATTTGAAGGAAGGCTGTGTGAGGAGTTCTCAGCTGGGTATTATGGAATCTGCACAGTTGGAGGAATGCTCAGTGCTGGTACTACCCATCTTGCAATAACTCCGCTTGATGTCTTAAAAGTGAACATGCAGGTAATTTCTCGCACTCACTATTATAGGTTCGCTCGCTTCATTGATACCATAACTGGAGGAATTTGAATGCTTTAGTTTGAGATTATTGATGGGTTTTGCTTGTTTTTATACCAATATTCTGGTTTTTCAATTGCTCTTATGATTATGCTACATACCATGTTCATTTCTTGGTTGATTACTGAAATTCGATGAATTTTGGCTGTTTGAACAAGATATTTTGCATTATTTTACTTGGTATACATTTGATATTGATTGGAATAAATAGGGTTTTTAGGAATGGGTCAAGTGCAAAAAACACTTCTGTACCATGCTTACTATGCTTACCGTGCATATCACACCCATCACAAGCACAAAACTATTGATTTGGTGCAATTAAGTCCCACCTAACATGATATGCCCAATTTTACATATTATTTTTTAAAAAGGTCATTTGTGAAATGATGAAAAAGGCCAAAATTTGAAAGGTTTGTTTAAGTGTGAAAACACCCCTCTTCTATGCTTATTGTGCGTAGCACACCCCTTGTGTGGACAAAACACACCCAAAGTAAAAAAATATATAGTGTATTTCTATTCTACATTTTTGTTCTTTTATTATATAGTGTATATATTATTTTTGAAAAATATAGAGAGAAAAAACACTAAAGCTGTAGAAGAAATATATAGAGAGAGACTTATCAAAAAAATATATATATAGAGAGAAAAACCTCAAAAGTGAAATTTACTGTTTATCTAACTCTCTGTCATTCTTTTAGTATTTAATTTCAATTTATATTAAAAGCAATAAGACTCGTGCAAACAAAATTTTATTTTTTGAATATTTATATATCTCTTAAAAGGTGTAGAGGATATATATATAGAGAGAGAGAAAAAATCTTCAAAAGTGGGTTAATTTTAGTTTATGCGCACATAACACCCCTCTACTATGAGATTATTAGTATACACCCCCTTGGGCATTTTCAGAAGGCTAAAAGGATAAAATGGGCATTAAAGCATTACTTTATGTCAGAGATTTGCAAAAAGTAATTTGAGGGGTCTTTCCTTATAATTTTAAAACATTAAAGGGGATAGTAGCACACTTTTTAAAATACGGGGTGAAAGTGCTATACGGAGTATACTTTAGGGCTTCGTTCGGTAGGAAAGAAAAAATTTGGATGGAAGGGAGAGAAGAAGGGATGGATGAGACATCCCTAGAGAAGAGATTATGTTCTTCCATTTTTTTTGTTTGATTTGATGGAAGAGAAAAGAATACGATCACAATTTATTGTGATTGTTAGGAGAGAAGGAAAGAGAGAGTTTTAAATTGTTTTTACTATTATGTGTAACACTATCTACAATATTGTAGTTTATAGAGGATAATATTGTAATTTAAAAGTTGTATAATTTAGGAATTATAATTCAAAACTTCCATAATAGCACCATTTGTCTTCTCTCCTCTGTTTTGCCCATATTTGGAGGGATGAAAATTTGTAAAGGAGGAAGGATTATTCATCCCTCCTATTATCCTCTCTCTCCTTGTCTCCTCTCTACCAAACAAAGGAAGTTTGTTCATTCCTTCCTATTTTCTCTCCACCCTTGTTTCTTCCTTCCTACTGAACAAAACATAGGGGTGTTTTCTGCACTTTACCCTTTTAGGAATAGCTCGTTGGGTTTTTATTAGATCATAAGAAATTCATATTCCTTATCAAACATGGAACTTTGGGTTATGAATTTAAATGTATGGGAGAAATGGAAGAACACCGAAGAGTAGAAAAGCAAGGTGTAATAGTTCGCATGGTATTAAACAAGTTCTATGACAGTTTGATACCCATTGATTAGTATTAGAGGTGAAGGTTCCATCTCTGGTATATGGAAAACGTTGTCTCAGTTGTAATGGGGATTTCCTTCATGGTGGAGTCGATTGATCTTGTTCTTATTTATCATGGTGCTTACAAACTTGTGATTACTGATAGAAAAATTCTGTCCATATAAATGACATAATAAATACAAATAGTATCTCTCCCTTGTGAAATAATCAATAATCAATACTTATTTATATGTTGAAGCCATGTATTAGATAGAAAACCTACAATGTTAAGAATATGAGTGGAGGGAGTGTCAAACAGCTTGCATAATATCCTTTTCAATAGAGACCACATCCTTAAAGGGGTTAGAGTATATGGAATCTGGAGTAACTCTTCTCCCAAATGTAATAAGCACTAGTAACCAACCCGTAGCCAGCAGAGTCATGTTCACTTGGCATTTTAGAGTCTTGCTCTTGAGGTTTACAGTTGCCCAAGCAATCAAACCTTGGATAGAGGTCATTGAAGAAGATCAGGTAGTAAAGAGTTTCAATTTTTGCTCTACAAAAAAATAAGTGGCTTTCTGAATAATACTCTTGTTTATCATAACATCCTGAGTATGAAACCTCCCTCTAGCAATCAGCCACATAGTGTAAGCATGTCTGATAACATACCCTTTGAACCAAATTACGTGGTGCAAATCAATCTTACTCCTTGAAGGTCTAAAGGTGTTCATGCTTCCTTGATGGACAAGGGTTTCATGGAATATTTTCTTCTGAGGATTAGGAGAAATAGAAAGGAGTTCCCTCTGAATATCCATCATAGAAGGGAGAGAACTAACAGGCCAATTCTAGTGGTCATTCTCAATAATATCGGCAACTAGCGCTTCTTTACTCAATCCAGATTGGTAAATAACTCGAGTCTCGATCTATGATAATAACTTTCTTATTATCTTGCATGGACATTATTTCTACTGATTATTTCATTTATTATTAAACCTCAGTGTAGGTGTATTTCTTGCACTGTGAAACATGTGTATCAAAGATTGGTAGGAAACAAGTGGTATTGATAGAGAACAAATATGAAGAAGTGGTCTTCATGCCTATGCTTTGTTGGTTTCTATTAGGTGGTTGGCATTTCTCCAAATTGCAAAAGGAGATAATAGTGGTTATGTTTTGGGGGCAAGTTGTTGCAAAAGAGGGTTCGGGGTTAGTTTTTTGAATTTTCATTAGCTAGATTGAGGTCATTAGTTCTCCCATTCCTCTTGTTTTTCCTGTTACATGAAAAAAATATAATTATGTTAAATTCATTAGGAAATGATTCACTCTTTAAATTAGGTTATATCAGAAGGCTATCATTCACGACTCCCACAATGAGCTAGACGATCATCTGGACATTGAGCTGTAGAAGATCCCTGAAATCTTACTCCTAACTCAGACAGTGGATCAGATGCATTAGGGTGTCGTCTTATCCTTTGTTCATACAGTGGGAGTCGTCACGCTAGACTTCAATGGGGCTAATCTAGAGAGAAGGTCCTCGTTGTAGTATTTTAGTTTTCTCACTTGTTTAAAAAAAAAAAAAAAAAAATGGCACCCTTTTGAGTTGTAGTATCCGAGGAGAAGAGGTTCTTGTGAGTTGTTCGCCTCACAATCACACACCCTTTTATTTATATAAGTAAATAATGTATTAAAGAGCGTTCAAAAGGGGAACGCATTCCTCAAAAGCTACAAAAGGCCAAAAAGGGGCCTCTAAGCCCTCAAAGAACCCAAAAAAGGGCCTCTAAATCATATGCTTGTAGGGAATTTGGTGAGGCCTATCATTGAGGGGAGATCCTTGCAATATATGGTAGGCAAGGCTTATCCTAGAGGGGAGATCCTTGCGAGTAGGTAGCATAAAACCATAGGCTATGTCATATGGTTGTTAGAAAGGTGGGACCACATTAAAGACCACGTGTGCCTGTGGATAAGGGAGAGAAGGGAGCAACGTGGAGATTACCTGTTCAGATGGCTACAACATCTGTTTGCAGGTAGACTCATGTGGACAATCAACAAGAAAATACTCCTTTACATGATCAAATAAGAAAATTAGGGGTTGTTTGTAATGAGAGACTGGTTGCTTGGCGGGAGAATTGTGCAATCAAGCCCTACTGGATGATAATAGGCCTTTTAGAAGTTCCTTGTTTCTCATGAGATTAAAGTAGTTTCCTTGCCAAGAATAATTTACATAAATCATGATCACTGTAAATAATATAATCAATGATAACATTATGTGGTGGATAACTTTGGTGATGAGGCATAAGACGTATAGGCTTAAATATCTGTCAAAGATAAGCATATAAAGAGTACACAATTCTGCTGATAATAATAGTACACAACCCTGTCAAAGATGAGCACAGAAAGAGGACACAATTCTGCCAAAGGCAATGGTCTACAACCCTGTCGAGAAGGCAAAGATCATAGATCTACCTCAGCTTGTAGTCTTGAGTGAGCCATTTAATTAGAAACAAAATATTTTTCAGTAATAATATTCTCGAGGAGACATTATACAAAAGACTGAATAAATCCTCAAAGAATAATAAGTGACATAAAACTTTCCAAAAAAAAATAATAATAAGTTACAGAATGGTGATTAGTTGCCTTCTTGGTGCTTACATGGCAATGAACGAGTGCCTGTTACCACACAAATTAAACAATTTTCTTTCTTTTTAAAATGAGGAATAATTTGTAACACTACCATTTATTACACCTTTTCCTGGTTAATCAAATATGGCATCACTTTTATTATTTTTTAATCTTCTACTTCTGCAATATTTTACATTGGCTGGTTATTTAATCCCCCTAAGTTTTCCATAGAACGCCTTGGTTTCTTGTAGGTTGTATCTTTCTGATGTAGGATGTTGACTTCAGGTGAACCCAATCCAGTATAATGGCATTATATCAGGTTTTAGTACTTTATGGAAAGAACAAGGCCCTTCTGCCTTTTGGAGAGGTTGGTCTGGTAAATTTTTTGGATATGGTCTTCAAGGTGGATGCAAATTTGGTCTCTATGAATACTTCAAGAAACTCTACTCCGATGTGCTGGTAGATCATAACAGGAGTGTTATATTCTTTGTCAGCAGTGCATCTGCACAAGTATTTGCTGATGTGGCTCTCTGTCCATTTGAAGCAATCAAAGTCCGTGTTCAAACACAGCCTAATTTTGCAAAGGGTTTGGTTGATGGGTTTCCAAAATTGTATGCGACTGAAGGACTTTCTGGGTAAATTGCCTGAAAACATAATTATCTTTTTGTATTTTTGTTTCTTTGTCATGCTTGCCTTCTATTATACTAAAGTTGGAATACATTTATATTTGAATTCAGCTTTTATAAGGGACTCATTCCACTTTGGGGTCGCAATATTCCATGTAACATCTTTACTTCCTTGCAGTTTTTCAAATTTTCTACTTGTTTGAAAATTTACTTGTTTAATATTCTTTCTGATTAGTTGACAAACATCATATTCTGCTTTGTTATGGTCACTTGTTCAGTATCGTTGATTAGCTAGAATATTTCAAGAAGCAGTGGTCATTCTGAGTTTTATGTTATTTGCTAAATATGCTGGTCCTCTATTAGCCAGTATATAATTGCACAGATCGATCTATCGTCCATTGTGTATGGTTTGCAAAGCGATTATATTCGACTAAAGAATACATGCATGTCATAGTTTAACATCCATTCCTTGGATTCATTCAGTTGTTTTTCTCGGTACATATTCTACTCTTATTAGCTTTTTCTGTTTTTACTTTGTTGTGATATATCGTGATATTTTCCTTTTTCTACTCTGTAATTTTTCTTATTTTTTCAGCAAATCAGTAAACTAAATCACTTTACAACCTGAAATTGTCAATTTTAGTGCATGGCAATATGGAACACTTGATAGTCTTGCATCCATATACCTTCCAGAACTCGAAATCTTATTAATGCCTGAAACTTCAATGCACAAGCCTTTGTTTGTTCAACACTACAGGGTTAATAATCAGCAGTACTGCCATATTTGGCATTACAAAATAGCATTTCCCTCTGTTAGTTGTAATCTTCATCAAGTATCGTATATTAAATTTTCACACGCATAGTATATTAAAAGCACATTTCTTCCTTTAACAATTTTCTGTTGTGTTTGTGTGGAAATATTTGTTTGGCAGTCTCCATGATAATGTTTTCGACATTTGAGCATTCAGTCGACATGATATACCGTAATGTTATTCAAAAAAGAAAGGAAGATTGCTCAAGAGCTCAACAACTTGGTGTGACATGCTTAGCAGGCTATACAGCTGGAGCTGTTGGTACCATAATCTCTAATCCTGCTGACAATATTGTTTCTTCTCTTTACAACAAAAAAGCTGAAACTGTGCTGCAAGTAGTGCCTCTGCACCAAAATCTTCTTTGGTTCAATTCAAGTTTGCTATTCAAAAGTATTAACTGCATTAATATGTTGTCTTTCAGGCCATGAAGAACATTGGGCTTGTCAATTTGTTTACTAGAAGTCTTCCTATTCGAATCACACTCGTGGGGCCTGTTGTAACTTTGCAGTGGTTTTTCTATGACACGATTAAAGTGCTAAGTGGACTGTAAGTGTATTTTTTCTGAACTTCTCAATCTTGTGGTGGACCATATGTGGCTATCACCGTGAAAATAAAAGAAAAAAAAAAAAAAAAACAAATGCTTTAGCAGTTGCACACCCGGTGTCAAAGTCCTATCAATTTGCAAATCTAGTGACCAACTTTGTCCTCCAATATTTTATATTTGGATGTCCCTAATATGTTTGCTGACAAATCTAAAGTGGTGTATGTCACACGTGGTGGTCCCCTTTACATTAGTATAAGAATATGCCAATCAAATTTATTAAATGGAGAGTCTTAACACTATAATAATACCATCCCTCGTGATACCTTACTCTTGCCCAAATCAACGTTTCCATGTTTACAAACTATCCCAGGGAACACATTGATTTCAAGGTCCAACTCTAAAATGGAACATTCATGTGAGCTTTTGATATTTGATGGATATGGGGTAGACAAATTTTACATCCTAAATGTTCTATTTTGTGGGTTGCCGAAATGCCCCCTAAAGATGTCGTCATTCAGTGTGATTAGTGGAGGACCTTTTGAACTATATTTTCTTTCTTCTAAATGTAATCTATGGTTGAAAATATTTCAGGCCTACTAGTGGAGGGCTAAGCAGGCATCTGGAAGGAGCTTGCTGATCAATGCATGGTGGTGATGCAAAATGGCATTTTAGTCGGGCAAAACGTAGGGACTGTCCCATGGGAAAACGTTCTTGTTTCAGAAATAAGGGCAGCAATGTTCCTAAAACATAAACTTGAATCATCATCATAGGGTGTAGCTGCCCAGATTGTTATGGTAGTTTGGTCAAGTTTTTATAATTTGTGTATGCTTTTACAGCGCAGGCTTATTATATTCATTCAATTATTCTTCCTCTTGGATGGTTCTAACTCACAATTGCAGTGTAAGCTGTTAGTAAATTGATGGTAGAGTTGTAGAAAGGAATTATTGACATGCTACATTTTTGTATATCAGGAAATGTAAATGAAGCCACATTAGTTGGTATTGGGGGGTTTGATTCAATATTTTGTAGATCAAATTTATGAACAGTGAGCACCACCATTCAAGGAATCATCGGCCATTGTTGATGCTACATGAAACCACTCTTGATTTCATTTTATCAATTTGAATTGTTCTTGGTCAATAATCTAACCACACACCATGCCCTTCTCTTAATCTATTTATACATTATTATTGTATTTTGGAGAGTTGTCTAATATGTTTGTTGTTTGGGTTGTATCTGTTTTCCCTGTACTCGGAAAGGATATTCCAAGCAAAAGAGAAAATGTCCAAAGGATTGATTATTCAACTAGAGAATATTAAACAAGTCCTATTCTTATTCTATTGTCGTATTTGGGGAATATATATATATTTTTTGAAGACTTCCGATTGACTACTAAGCCTTTGGACCTTTATTGAGTTAGGGATGACAATTTGTATTCGTGAATCATAATTATGTCGTATCGAAGAAATGATATTATACTAAAGAGGTAAATTTGAATCCAAGCTATCTAATAATTGTGTCAAGAATCTTTAATACTAACTCAACCCGTTTATTAAATAGACAAATATGTTAACCCATTTAATCACCTGTTTATTAAAACGATACATTTAATATTTAATCAAATAATAAATAATAGAAAAAATAAGTCACAATTAACCTAAATATTCAAAATAAGAAAAAAAATCATGAAGCATAGACAAAGTTTATGTTGAAATGATTTAACTATTCATAGTAATTGTGTTTAAACAAGTAACATATTACTTAGATCATATTCATGGTTATAATATGTTGAGTTAAACGGGTCATAAATGGGTTACACAGGTTAAACTTTTCAACCCTAATCCGACACAATTAAGTAAACACGTTTATCGCGTCGATTCGTTTATGACCCGAGCCCATTTAAGGTCAACCTAAACTCTTTCATTTCGTGTTGTGTTTGATTCGTACTGGTGAGTCTAATTTGCCATCCCTAATTTCGACTATCCAAAAACACGTACAATTTATTAAAGCTATGTTTGCTTTAAATTAAAATTTGTAAAATTAAAAACAAAAAAAATTAATTTGTAAAATTAAATTAAAATTTTCTCTAATTTCAAATAAATAATTATATATATATTTTAATGGCATTCATGATAAAGAATATGAAATGAAATTGGCTTGAGTATGTGAGGATTGCATAAGTTTTTCAATTATTATCAGTTGTTGTTGGATGATATCACATTGTCCAGCTACCTGCTAAGTGTCTAAATTAAGAAAGGAACAGAAATTGAGCGGACAACAATTCAAAGCCTTGACGCGTGTGTGTATATATATATCTCTCTCTAAGTGAACGGTGCATGCATATTTACTATACTATAATAATACTACTATACCCGATATCAACTCTCTCCCTCTAAACCCTTTTTCAAGATCTGCTGAATTGGAGGTCAAAAAAAATGTTCTCTCTCTTCACTTGTAGTAATTTAATTTGAACCTCTCCTTCCTAGAAAGTAGAAACCGTGAATGTCACTGCCACCAAGTAATGAAACAATTGAAAACAAACTTTATAATAAGATAATAATAGTAATGGAAAAAGTAGTCGTATTTGATTTATAATTTGTAGTTTTGTGTAGACAAAGCTAAGCTGGTCGCCACTCTCCTCCGATCCTTCTCGGCAACACCATACACATACATAACATACGTACATACATAAAATCTTCTTCTCTTCGGATTAAATATGAAGGAACGTTTCAACTTCCATCATCAACATCAACGTCAACATCATCAAACATGAGCACTGGAACTACCCTTTGTTGACTCTCTCTTCTCATTTCACCAGGTACTTCATTTCTCTTAATAATTTTTTTTTTTTGAATATATATATATATATATATGTACGTATATGTGTTTGCTTTAGCAAACATGTTTGCATCTTGATCACTGTATGTTGTTCTGAATTTTTTATTTTATTTTTTATTCTTCGTTGATTTATTATTAGTCTGATCTGAAACCAGATTCGTTTACTTTTCAGCTAGATTTGTTCATCATCAAAAAGTTATCCTTTTTCATTTGCTCTGCCAATATTGGGTCTTTTAATTTAAATTTTAATTATTTATATAAAGTGATTTGAAATTGGGGGTTAACTGTAGGAAACATTTCAGAATATAATTTGATGAGAGAAGATTGGATGAGGAATGTCGTGAAGTACTGAGGAGGTGGTGGAGGAGGAGGAGAGGGGCATTGTGATTGTTTCATGGGCAATACATGCCGCGGATCTTTTGGAAGCAAATACTTTCAGGGCTACAGTCAGCCCGAAGAACAATCCAATACCAAGCGCAATACTACTTATTCTACCCATTCTAATTATTCCGATTTCTCGGCCACCAGTTTCAACTCTCAACACCTCATTCCTCAAGAATTCTCCAAGGATAATCCCAAGAAAGACAACAATCTACCCCTTGATAACACACCCAAACAAACCACCATGAGCCGCCACCACCACCACCGCAATGATAACCAAGCTTATTTTGTCTTGGGTCATAAGACTGCTAACATTCGTGATCTTTACATGTTGGGCCGTAAGTTAGGTCAAGGACAATTTGGCACTACTTATTTATGCACTGAGATTTCCACTGGCAATGAATATGCATGTAAATCAATCTCTAAGCGGAAATTGATTTCCAGAGAGGATGTTGAGGATGTCAGGAGGGAGATTCAGATAATGCACCATTTGGCCGGTCACACCAACATTGTGACGATTAAGGGTGCATATGAGGACCCTTTGTATGTTCACATTGTCATGGAACTTTGTTCAGGGGGTGAATTGTTTGACCGCATCATTCAGAGGGGACACTATAGTGAGAGAAAGGCAGCTGAATTGACCAAGATTGTTGTTGGGGTTGTTGAGGCATGTCATTCACTCGGGGTTATGCATAGAGATCTAAAGCCTGAGAATTTCTTGTTGGTTAACAAGGATGATGATTTCTCTCTCAAGGCCATTGATTTTGGACTATCAGTTTTCTTCAAACCAGGTAAAAGGGAAATATATGATTAGCTTCTTTTTTCGTTTTATATGTTGTCTTTCCATGTTGAAGAAATGTTATATATTAGTGAACTAAAAGCACCAATTTTTATTATGCATTCTTAATTTTTGGAATGTGTTCCTTCGATTTATACTGTCTCATAACAACTTCTTTTCATCATAAGTCTGTATCTTAATTATTATTTTCAAGGGATCCATGCTCTTCTTTAATGCATTGGTTGGTTATGCATGCCTTAAGATGGCTAAATGCAGAGCTTGCGCTTTATAGGAGAAGATTTGTGTGCCTCCTCTTTTATTTTGAATCTTCTAGTTGTAGATACAAAACCAAATGCTAAAATCTATCCCTTAAGGTGCTTCTGCTTATGGTATTATGATTCCGTAAATTGAACCGAAAAATAATATTAAATTGAGTTGCGATATCTGTTTAATATGCAGTTTGTTACTTCAGGTCAGATTTTTACTGATGTTGTTGGAAGCCCATATTATGTTGCTCCAGAGGTGCTTCTGAAGCATTATGGCCCAGAAGCAGATGTGTGGACAGCAGGGGTCATACTGTATATATTGCTAAGTGGCGTACCACCCTTTTGGGCTGGTATGTGTTTTTGTTATGTTAGACTAGCAAATTTTCAGTTTCTATACCCAATGCGCTGAAAATTTTATTCTATTTGTTGTTCAGAAACACAACAGGGGATATTTGATGCTGTTTTGAAGGGACACATTGATTTTGAATCAGAGCCCTGGCCACTGATATCTGACAGTGCGAAGGATCTTATACGCCAAATGTTATGCTCTGGACCTTCTGATCGCCTAACTGCTCATGAAGTATTATGTATGTTTACCTTTCTCTTTTAGGCGCTGCTAGCTAATCTTTGTAACCATCTAGGCTGGATGAATTTGTAAAAGTTACTTTCAGTTTTCTTGACGATATAGACACCCTTGTGGCTATTACCCTCAGTACATTGAATGATATTTTGGTCAAACCAACTATACATGATTACTAGGTCATAGCAGGATTCTTACAGGACTTTGTAAACTTCCAGGAGGACAATATTACGAGTGTTCCAATTATGTTGAAACTTGTGACACTCCACGATTGGTTTTCACGCCCACCAAGAATGCAGTTGATGCCTTAATTTGAATCTTCCTGCTCATCGGCAGCTGATGCATCAGAACCAAATCATCAACCTTTTGTTAACCCTTAGAAGTTTAAAAAAATGTGGGAAGGGTGAAAGCAGAAATTAATTATAGTCATTAATAAATTTCTGCATAGACAATATATCATATACTATCTCACACAAAGGCTATAATTTATTTTGCCAGTTGCGTCCTCAGGCTGTTCAATTAGGTGTAGAATTAAATTTTGTTCATTCAAAGTGCTAGTTCAAGGAAATTGAGCTCCTAGAATTATTTCCACTTAAGTGGCAGGATAGATCTTGCATGGGAATTTGGTTTATTTATTTATTATTTTCCCCTTTGTTTGTAGTTTAACCAAAATAATGATAACAGAGTTATAATTTTGTTCTTTACAATTCTACAGGTCACCCTTGGATATGTGAAAATGGAGTTGCTCCTGACAGAGCACTGGATCCAGCTATTCTTTCTCGCCTCAAACATTTCTCTGCTATGAACAAGTTAAAGAAGATGGCTTTACGGGTATGTACATTATAGAAATGACACGGTGGGTTTATCAATAAATTGGTGACGTATGACGCAGTGGGTATCTAAATGAATTGGCGATGTTCTGCATTAGCCGATTTTACTAGTTTGTTCATTTGTATCCAGAATCAATTTGGATACTCTAATAGGCGATTTCAAGATTGAAAGAAAATCTGTATATTGCCTTCCTTTGAATGGTTTACAATGCTTTAGTTAAATAAGACATACAAGGGGCTAAAAAAAGGAAACTACAAGCTGACTACAAGCTGTGACAGCAAACTACAGGCTGTAATTACAGGCTGTATACTAACAGAAGCTACAGGCTGTGCACTAATAGAAGCTATAGGTTATACACTAAAATATCCCCTAAAATCTGGTCATTGACTATCTATATTTACACGCCTATCATATCCCCTAAAATATGGTCTTATTAAAACCAAATATCTCTTTTTCAACACTCCCCCTCAAGCTGGCTTGTAGATGTCTTCCATAGCTAGCTTGCTTCTTAAAACTTCAAACTGTTTCTTGTGTAGTCCTTTGGTAAGGATGTCTGCAGCTTGTTCAGTAGTAGAGACATAAGGAATGCAAATCATACCACAGTCAAGCTTTTCCTTGATAAAGTGTTTGTCAACTTCCACATGTTTGGTTCTGTCGTGGAGGACTGGATTATGAGCAATTGAAATGGCAGCTTTGTTGTCACAGTAGACTCTCATTGGAGGAGAAACAATAACCTTCAAATCTTCAAGGAGTCTTTTTAACCATATAGCTTCGCAAATCCCATGGGCGAGTGCTCTGAACTCGGCTTCTGCACTACTCCTCGCTACTACATTTTGTTTCTTGCTTCGCCACGTGACTAAGTTTCCTCCAACGAAGGTGCAATATCCTGAGGTAGATCGTCTATCAACTATACTGCCTGCCCAATCAGCATCTGTGTACACCTCCACTTGTAAATGACCTTGTTTCTTGAACATAAGTCCTTTACCTGGTGAGCCCTTTAAGTACCTCAGAATCCTGTACACTGCTTCAAAGTGTTCCTGTCCAGGAGAGTGCATGAACTGACTCACCATACTGACTGCAAATGCTATATCTGGGCGTGTGTGAGATAAGTAAATTAGTCTTCCCACCAATCTCTGATATCTTTCACGATCAACCATATTCTCGGGTTCGGCAGCTTCTAACTTCAGGTTGACTTCAATTGGAGTGTCAGCAGCTTTACACCCGAGTAGTCCTGTCTCATTAAGCAAATCAAGTACATATTTTCGTTGATTCACGAAAATTCCTTCTCTTGACTTGGCAAATTCCATTCCAAGGAAGTATTTTAATGCTCCCAGATCTTTGACTTCAAAATCTTTAGCAAGTTTCTTCTTCAGTCTGGTCAACTCTTCAATGTCATCACCTGTCAAAATTATATCATCCACATACACAATTAAAATGGCAATTTTCCCTTCCTCACCGTGTTTGTAGAACATAGTATGGTCTGCCTGACTCTGATGATACCCATGACTCTTCACAGCCTTTCCAAAACGTTCAAACCACGCTCTTGGAGACTGTTTCAAACCGTACAGGGATTTTTTGAGTTTACAGACTTTGCTCTGACTGTGTTTTCCTTCGAACCCAGGTGGCAAGCTCATAAACACTTCTTCTTCCAAGTCTCCATTTAAAAAGGCATTTTTTATGTCCAATTGATGTAATGGCCAATTAGAATTGACTGCCAACGACAATAAGACTCGGATAGAATTTATTTTTGCTACAGGAGCAAACGTCTCTTGGTAATCAATGCCGTACGTTTGCGTAAAACCTTTCGCCACAAGTCTTGCCTTGTACCTTTCCACACTACCATCAACTTTACACTTAATAGTGAAAACCCATTTACACCCAACAGTTTTCTTTCCTTTGGGTAAGTCAACTATCTCCCACGTTCCACTCCTTTTAAGAGCATTCATCTCCTCTAACACTGCTGATTTCCAATTCGGATCATCTAGTGCTTCCTGAATGTTTCTTGGAACAAACAAGTGAGAAATATTTGAAGTAAAGGCCCTATGTTTATGGGAAAGTTTATCATAAGACAAGTATTTGGCAATGGGATGCTGGGTACAGGTTCGGATTCCTTTTCTAACAGCTATAGGGATATCAAGGTCTACAGGAACTTGGCTAGGTGTCTCTGTACGATTAGAAATAGTAGGGACAACTGTAGACAAGTTAGGATTTAGAGTACCTTGAGTGTTCAGGGAGTCATTGCTCGGGACCTCTGATTGGCCTTGCTCAGGTACAATAGTAGGCTCTCTACTCTTTTGATGAGTCTTTTTTCTGTTATAAACCAGAAGCTCAGGATTCGGTTTTTTTGGAACCGTTGGTAGGATTTCTCCCCCTGTTGGAGATACAGTAAGGCTCGGCAGATTAGGACTAGGAGGCCCCGGGTTTCCTGATTCTAGAACATCATTTTCTTGTTTGAAAAGATCAGTGTTTGGAGTAGAGTGTGAGACAATAGTTTTAGGTAAGGGAATATTAGTAGAAATCTCCCAAAAACGGCTTCACCCCACAAATACTTAGGAACATTCATTGAAAACATGATGGCACGAGAAACTTCAAGTAAATGTTTATTCTTTCTTTCAGCAATTCTGTTTTGTTGGGGTGTGTCAACACAAGTGGATTGGTGAAAAATTCCTTTTTCTGTTAAAAAACTTCCTAAAACTTCATTAAAGTATTCGGTGCCGTTATCAGTATGAAGAATGCCAATTTTTGTTTGAAATTGATTTTCAATCATCATATAAAAATCCTTGAATAATTTTTCAATTTCAGATTTTTCATTCATTAAATACACCCAACACAAACGTGTATGATCATCAATAAAAGTCACAAACCATTTTTTTCCAGAAAGAGTTGTGATCCTAGAAGGGCCCCAAACATCGCTATGGATTAAATAAAATGGTTTTGATGTTTGGTAAGGTTTAGGAGAATACGTAGTACGATGACTCTTTGATAAAAAACAATTCTCACAATAAAAAGATGAACAATCCAATCCTTTAAACAAAGAAGGAAATAATTTTTTAAGATAAGGGAAACTAGGATGCCCTAGTCTAAAATGCCATAGCATTATTTGTTCTCTAACAGGGATAGAACGAAAACTACTCAAACCTTAAGCCTTTTTATTACTTGAAATATCATCTTCAAAATAGTAGAGACCATCTATCATCTTAGCACTGCCAATCGTCTTCCCCAAGCTCTGGTCCTGAAATTCACAATAGGATTCAAAAAAGATAACACGACAATTAGAGTCTTTGGACAATTTACTAATTGATAAAAGGTTACAAGCAAGCTTAGGGACATGAAGGACAGACTTAAGATCAATAATTTTTGAAAGTTTCACTAAACCTTTGCCTGTAATAGGAGAATAAGAACCATCAGCTATTCTGATTTTTTTTTTCAGAGCCAGAACAGGGTGAATAAGTTTGAAATAAATGAGAACAACTTGTCATATGGTCAGAAGCCCCTGAATCAATGATCCATGGGGTAACACTGGAATTTGAACGACAAGATAAGGTCTTCGGGTTGTTACCTGTTTGAGCAAGAGAAACATTAGGAGTACCAGATGAGGAATTGAATTTCAGCAATTTTAGAAGATGATCCATCTGTTCTTTGCTGAAGGGAAGTGCCTCGGCTTCATGAGCTGATGGGGCTCAGTTGAATCTGCCTTCCTGGTTGAATCTGCCTTCCTGCTTACTCTTCCAATTCGCTGGTTTACCATGAATTTTCCAGCAGGTTTCACGGGTATGGTGAGGCTTGTTGCAGTGGTCACACCAAAGACGGGGCTTTTCATTATGTTTCCTGCCAATATTCACTTCATATGCGACCAAGGCAGAGGTTTCAACAGCACCATTTGATAACTTTTTTCCAAGCATGACCAGCCTGCGACTTTCCTCTCTTCGAACCTCGGAGAAGACTTCACCGATTAAAGGCAAGGGTTGTCGTCCAATTATTCTGCCTCTCACTTCATTAAACTCGACATTGAGTCCAATGAGAAATCGCCTGAAGATTGCAACCATTACATAAAGAGAGTGAAGAAAATTTTTGGGAGATTTCTACTAATATTCCCTTACCTAAAACTATTGTCTCACACTCTACTCCAAACACTGTTATCTCCTTGACGGATCTCTCCGAGTTTCAGCGTTAGTTCATAGACTTGAGACTGATTTCCTAGGTCTGAATACATTTGGTTGACATTGTCCCAAAGTTCTTTTGCTGTGTGGTAACACATATAATTAGAACTGATGTCCTCCTCCATAGAATTCACCAACCAGGTCATCACCATCGAATTCTCTGCATCCCAGGTCGAGTAGGATGGATCTTCAGGTTTTGGTTCCTTCTTTTCTCCTGTTAGGTAGCTGATTTTGCCTCTGCCTCGGATATACATCCGCACGGACTGGGACCAGCGAAGGAAGTTTTCACCATTTAGCCGAATTGTGGTAATCTGGACCGAGTGTGTCTGAGAGTTTTGGACTTGGGACTCAAAGGTCTTGGTCTTGGACTCAGGTATGTCATCAGACATGGTGATTAGAGTTGTTTGGAAGAGAAAAAAAAAGGAACAGCTAGGGGTTTTTTTTTCAGAAGAATCGGTAAGATGCTCTGATACCAAATAGGCGATTTCAAGATTGAAAGAAAATCTGTATATTGCCTTCCTTTGAATGGTTTACAATGCTTTAGTTAAATAGGACATACAAGGGGCTAAAAAAAGGAAACTACAAGCTGACTACAAGCTGTGACAACAAACTACAGGCTGTAATTACAGGCTGTATACTAACAGAAGCTACAGGCTGTGCACTAATAGAAGCTATAGGTTATACACTAAAATATCCCCTAAAATCTGGTCATTGACTATCTATATTTACACGCCTATCATATCCCCTAAAATATGGTCTTATTAAAACCAAATATCTCTTTTTCAACAACTCTCCATAATTTCTTAGAGAATGGTGCAATTTGAATATGAAGATCTGGAT